GCTGTCGTCGGTAATATTTAGCATGCAGCCGACATTTCTTGTGTGTCTGGTTCGATAACGATTTGTCCGCTGTGGGGCTCGAACCCGCGCCACATACCGTTAGGTCCAGAAGCATTGACCCACGCCACCGGGTCAAGAAGTCGAATGTTCCCACACCGGGACTCGAACCCGTAAATTTCAGCGAACGCAGATTGGCTCAGTCGTTTAATGGGAGCTACAATCGGTTGGGTGTGGTTTTAAATCCCAGCGTGGTCAATCTGATCGCAACGAATCTTTGTGAACTAGCGTTTGTGGTTCATCTAGACTTGTTTTCCCCTTGTAACGTCCTGCTCCACGCAATCACCATTTTATATTTCATATGAATAGGCGCAGTAACTAGCCAAACATTACAGTGCGTAATGACTGTAAACGCTGGGACGAAGAAACGTTGACTTACAGTTACTGATCATAACTTTGTTAATATAACTCATTGTTTCACCACTTGAATAGCAACACATTTCAAGTAACTCTTCAAAAACTTAATCTTACTACTTACGACCGTATTGCGAATTTCAAACGACCATTTCTCCGCGATATAGATGTTAATTCGATCACCTTCGTTGTTGGTTTGCCGAATCAAACTGTATTTGATGAGAGTTTGGTGCTCCCAAAGGCAAAAATTACTATAGCTCTGCATGACGCCTATTGGTGCTGCGGTAAGGCTAATGTGGCAGGTTCATTTAAATGCCATAAGGAATTCAGATCCAATCACGGGCTTGTCACATGTTTATAGCTAACTAGACGCAATTTAAAAATAGGTATTGACATTGACTTGGAATCTGTTATTGAGCGAAAACTATGTAATAATTGCTTTCTGAGTAAGCAAATTTGGATTAGTTATACGAACTCATGTCAAAGGCATGCTAGAAACAGCTCACAGCAATACATGTGACCCCAAAAAGTTGTGACCCTTCAGTAGCCAGCGCTATTCATGACACTTATTAAGGAGCACCTTTTTGGGTCCTGTATCTGCTATGAATCAAATTGGAACTGGCTGACAAGTTTGTTTCTATTTCAGAGACTTAAGCACGCAAATATGTCAAGACTCTTAAAGATGACAGCGGTAATCGGGTGATATATCTAAATTATGCAAGCGTCAAGGCTTTCACGCCTACTTACATACCTTAGCAAGACAACATTGCTTCGGTGGAATGAAATTGTTAAGTGAGACGACGAAGAAGTATTTTTTACCGTAGTTCGGACTTTGACTCGGATTAAAGCATCACCATTGCAATTCAATACCATGAACAGCTTAATGAATCTTTGCAAAAGCTATTGCTCCCCAAGCTGGACAGGAAATTTGTCGTGCTAAGTAGTTCAGGATCATTGATCTTACAGAGTAATTTAATCTTCCTGTGGCTCTTATCTGCTTGTTTTCTAATGTCCTGAGCTTTGGCAATGGTGTCTGCAAGAAATCTGCAGCGGGGCTGAAAATCCGCTATGAAAATGACGACAGGAGTCAAAGTCGCTGAACAAACTAGTACAGATTTCACGAACCAAACAACAGATCTGATTGCAAACGCTAAAGAAAGATGTCAGCGAACGCAAGTGGATGATGACATTCGGCTTGTGAAGCTGCGTTGCAAATCAGCGGGAGAAACACCAACCACGTTCAAGTTGGCTATGGTTTCTGGCAACGGGGGAAGGCGTGCAACTTGGAAGTTGACTTTCGTGGCAGAAACAAACCTCATCTTTGGTATCGTTTTTGCACGGTCGAAAGATGAGTGGTTGTTGGTGAACGCTCTAAATTTAGAATGTCTTCTTGGCTAGAGATCGAGCTAATCATGGTATGACTTGTGACTGAATAAATGTATAACAGTTCGGTATCGACTATGAAGATACCTTATCGTTGGAAGCCAATTTCAAGTCAATTAAAACTCATCTCAGACTGGCGGCCAAGTGCAACTTGACGGTGCACAAAAAACATGAACACAGCATTTCTGAATGGACTACTTAACGAAAAAAATAACTAAATGATACAAACAGATGAATATGTTAACAAAGATTATTCGGAATTTTATGCCATCTCAACCGCTCGATCTACGATCAAAAGCAGTCATCACAGACGAGGAGCCAGACCATCAAAAATTTATCTTTAAAGCTGGACTTTAAAAAAGGTATGACCGGTCACTGCATCAACACTCAGCGAATCAATCAAGAAATGATCGTTATGGCTCTTGACGTCGACAAAACGGTCCTTGCAAGTGACACTTACAAATTTATCAGATCGACAAATGAGGCACCGTGTGAAAGAAAAACTTGGTCAGCTTCAACTGCTTTCTCGGCATGGAATAAGACCAATGATTGTCCGTGAAAGCGTGTTGGTGCGTCCAATGAATTTGCAATGGATATATCAGAAATTTGGGATGGACTAACAGTAATGCTGTCAAGTCACCTAAGAACCTGGAACTCGAACTGACTTAAGCCATCTGCGAAGGGAGTTGCAAACATTAGGAAATCACGGCAAGGATATGCCGTATCGTAATGCAATCGAACTCTGGATGTATCTCATGCATGGAACTCGATCGGGCCACTAGGAGCTTTCAGCCAGTGCGCAGCATACTTGTGTTTCACACACCAATACGTTCTTACATGTGTATTTCGTTACTGTCGCGGCACAAAGACGGACGGCGTTAATCTAAAAAAATCGACGAAAGACTCCAAGCTGCTCATATGCAAACTGGGATGGCAGCACCAAACAAGTGGGTACGCGTTATTTGAGGTGGCAGATTGAAATTTACGAAACAGCGAAGACAGCCTTGCCATCAACTGAGGCGAAGTACATGGCGCTGACGAATGCAATCATGGAACTAGGGATTGTCGTATGAACTAGGCTTGTGAAATGGGAAGACCAAGTCAAAATATCTGAGGACACTCAAAGACTCACTATCCATATCGCTAGGAAAGACCTTGAGCTCCACGTTTGCAATCGCATAAATCTGATTAGGACCAAGTAGTGTTGCGGTACTATTCGACAGAAGACATGAAGGCGGAGCTCGTAACCAAGCCTATCACCGCTGTACTATTTCATTTTCGATTCTAGTCCAGAATCTTGCCAACAAACACTGCCAAGTAAATTGGGAGCATTAAAGAAGAGACGAATCGATCAGCAATGACACACCGGTCGTCCTTGTGTGTGCCTCCTAGCTAAGAGACCGCAAACTTGACGCGCTGTGTTATGTCGGGAGCATGACCATCACAGCTTGTCTCTTCCAGAGAGAAAGAGAATTTTATCTTTTTTAACTTTGAAGGTCTGGACGATAAAATCAGCTACTCTACAGTGGGACTCGGTTGCGCTATGTTTACCAACTAGCCACGTCCCCAAACTTTTTTGATCTTTTAATCTTTGAGCGCAAGATTTTGTAGGTGCCGTATCAATATCTTATTTTCTTCATGTATGATTAGATTGTGTATTAGAGTTGATGCTTTAAAGTGCATATAATAAGTCAGGAAGTCATCACGTCTGTATCCAAAAAGAAAAGCTGCATGAAGGTGCCTACCGACAAAGAGAATGCTTCCTCACGAATTGGCGGCATCGAAATATCTTTGGGCGAAATCAAGTCCACATCCGACACAATTCTCAGTTGATGCGGAATTACAGGACTCGTCGGTACGAGCTTCGATTGCTGCTAGATGTCTCACTAGAGCGTTCTCGTTGCTAGTGAACGCAACCAGGCATCCTATTACCGCTTTCGGCCCTGTGCCGCCAACTTTGCTATCACCTCGCGGCTAACTAGAGGCATAAGCTAAGTAAGCTTGCCTAGCTGCTCCGGGCACAGGTAGTTGAACATTTCGATTTCAGTCTCGAGGAGAATTCATAGCTCAAAACTGGATCCACAGCTTGTGCTACCAATTGCGACGGTGTTGCCAACCACTTTACACAGAAATTTTTGATTCTAACATTTTGCCTTAGCAAATACATAGATGATAAATTGTACGTTCGAGTCAGGAGCGGACCCGATCGCCACTTTAGACACACCTAATTCGCTCATACATTGAGGATTATTTCACAAAGACTATTTTTTGATGTGAGAAAATCCAGCGCAATTATCGGTATTTGAGATTATACCGGTACATTCTATATGTACAGACGTCCCACCCCGAGTTCCACTGCCGTCTCCTCACGCCACCGTTCCACGGCATCTGCTTGCGCTTTGCCACATTATATTCTCTTGTTTGAATCTGTTTTTTCATTGAACGTGTGTCTGACTGAATCAGCGCAAACTTTCACTCGTAGGAATCAAGCCAACGCGCTTTTTCATTCTATTCGATAAAGGGTGAGTGAACATGAACACACCACCTAATGCCACCGTTCCAGAGCCTGTGGCTGAGCCTCTCGTGGTCCCAGAGGATGCACAATTGTCGCTGAAGATACGCACACTTGATCAGAAGACGTACCCGATCACCATATGTGCAGCCGCGTCCGTGCCGCAGCTCAAAGAAGTCGTCGCCGTCGAAACGGGTGTTACGCTCGCTCGCCAGAGACTTATCTACCGTGGTCGTGTATTAAAAAATGACCAAACGCTGGCTGCATACTCTCTCGAAAATGGTCATGTGCTTCATCTCGTAGTGCGGGCTGTACCACTCACCGACACAGATGGTCAGGCCTCGGCTACTGCTACGTCAGCTTCGGACCGTGTTGCTGAACAGGATGCTCTCATCGTGGCACCTTCTTTGGATAACAATACAGCCGAAGAAGGTACTAGTATGAACGCCTTGAATGCCCAGATCGACCAGTTTCAGCGCTCGTCTCTTCGACTTAGATCAGTACAACATACGCGCACGCATTCTCCCCCATCTTTATCAAGAAATAATGATGAGCCAGATCCGACAATGGGACGGTCCGGTCGCGGTGGTCTGCCTGGTCATGTTCTTTTGGGTGCCACCATCTCAGTGCCTGAGGGTGCAGAAGTGACGATGCCATTTCTTAATTCAATGATCGCCAATCTCATGACGCAGGTTAATGAAGGCGGCGCTGAAACGAATAGAGACGAGAGGACAGAGACAGCCACCAGCACCCATCGCACTATTTTGTCGCGTGAAGCTATGGGTAATAGCACAGCTGCTGAGATGCAAGCAGCAACGGCGAGAGCACTACGACGCCATCAACGAAATCGTGACGGATCCGGTCGGTCGCGCGGACGACGCTCACTATCTTCTGCCGAACGTCAATTTTCGCTGCGGGCTCGCATGGGATTGCGACTCCAATCAGTTCGTGACACACTGGACGACGCATCACTCGAATTCCCCGCCGAACTTACAGCTTTGCCACAAGGAGATTCAAATACTGCTTTGAGTGAAGTGCAGCAACAAGTTGAAATGTTGTTGACGCTCGTGCATCGTTTTGGGCCACGACTTCGCTTACTGGCTGCTGCACTAGCTCAGCGCGACCGCATGGGTGGGGCGGCTATGGTGGCACCAGATTCCTTTTCATCGACGGAATTAGCTGCACCGCCAGCCGAGTCTACCAACAACTCTGTTGCATCTATGTCGACACCAGCCGCAATAGCGTTAAATGCTAGTGATACTGATGCCACTACTATCGAGCCATTGATTTCTTCACGCCACGTCATTCGCACAATTGAGGTATTGACTTCGATTGGAGAGTCCATTGAATTACTGGCGAGTATGGCTCGGCATGCATTCGTGCGTCAGTCTGTTCAAGCGGGTGAGCTTTCGAGACGTTTTAGTGTATCTGCGAATGACTCGACTCGAGCGACATTCGATCGTGAAGCTTCTTCCTCGACTGATGCAATTGTGCAAGCACCAGGGAACGGGTTGCAGGAATCGACTCGCGCTTCGAGAGCGTCAGCACGAAGTGCAGTCACTTCCTTGAGACCACGACTTCGGTTTCGTGTCAACACCACAGATATGCGAAGTGACCAGGATCTCGCAACTACGACAGCAACTGGAGGTATCTCGGTAGCGACAACTGGATCGACTTTTGATCATCCAGTTAATCTCACGAGCACAGCCAGTGCCGGCGCACCGTTGACTATAGAAAGTGGAACTCCTATATATTCAGACGCTCATGGTCGACGATCTGATGGGGGACGTAACGAAAGTACTGCTTTACTTTCGCCCGCGAGCGTCTCAATCTCCGGCATGCGATTTCCAGTCTTATCCTCGGTAGTGTTTCCGTTCTCTTTGGCAGCAGGGCTGGGCGGAAGCCATGCGACCACCTCGTGGAACTTGGCAGATTTTGTGAGTCGGATAACGAGTGAGTTGCCCATCTCGACTTTGTATGGAGTGTTGGCTGGTGATGCCACTCATCTTCACCACATTCTAGCACATATTGGGTTTGCATTATTCAGTGGTGTAGATGTGCCGCGTGTAATAAGACCAAGCATCCATACGTGGGCCCAAGACTTTGAAAATGAACTTCGTCGTTTGTTGCGCTCGCATGCGTTGCCTCCTGGCGTGATAAATCAGGTAGCGGGATCGGAAGACCGGGGTATGGCGCTGGGGGATGAGCTATTGCGCGTTTTGGAGCCATTTATTGCCGATCTGGTCGACCTGCTCGTCCGTGCTACGTCTGCGAGCCGTGCCGCTGCGTTCGGTACGAGCAGCGCAGCTTTCTTACGCACGATGGCTCAGCAAATTGTTCGTCAACTTCGAGCTTATGCACGAGGTGACTCAACGGAAAATGAAGAAGAGAGCGACGAGCGCTTAAAGCGGTTGCTACTAGAACTCCTCACATGGCTTGGTCTGAATGAATATGTTGCAAGCTTTGCTGTCAACAGCTTATTAGTCTGGACCGCAGAAGTTGAAAATACTAGAGGTCGTGGTCGTATTCGTGAAAGAGAAGAGACTGATAGCGCTGATGTTCCAGAAAGACCAGCAAGTAAGCAACGAAGGGAGTAAGGAAAAACGGCTTAAGCTTTAACGTAGTCAATCGGGAATGTAAACACAAATAGCAAATTGTCATCTATTAAAGGCTTTCAGTTTGATAGAGGGTTCAGCGTCGGGAACTTTGGGTAGACACGTTTATACAAGTGGAGACATACAGTGTCATGCTGTTTAATGGGCTTGTTGAAAACCGCTTTGAGATCCCCATGCGTTCCCAATGACTCCTTGATGTGGCCTGTGAGCCCGTGCTTAGTCGTCAGTTCGACTGGTTTGAACCACCGGACATCCTCAGGTGAGTGAAACATGTACCTTACAACAGCTTTCCGTTTTTTGACTTTGACTGGTGTGCCTGTTATAATGACACGCTTGAGCACAACACGATTCGAGTTGACGTTTTTTAATGTGCCAGAAGCTACGAGCTGGCCATCTGGCTTGAACAGCAGCAATGAAGCAGGCTGGAATGTCACAGGGCCGTACACGGTAGCTACGCTCCAGCCAGTTTGCGGTAAGAATCGCTGGAAAAGGTGCTGATCGCTTTTCAAGCTCTGGTCACTAAATACAGGTCTACCTGAAAATCGTCGAAAGCCACAGTGAAAGGACAATTCGTCTTTGGACTTGAGTGTCTCCCCTGCAAACGATGACGCACGCTGCACAGTAAAATTGAGCACACTCAAGCGGTTCTCATGCTTGAGCAATGCACCCATGACAAGCGGACCAGCCTGGATACGCGTCTGTAGCTTTCCCACAAAAACAGACTTAAAATGCAGCGTGACATAGACTCCGGATGGCACGTATCCTCGTACGCCAAATTCGGTTGGCAATGGCTCGCTCACAATAGACGACGACGCTACGGAAGCAGTATCATTTACATCTTCCATTTTCATTGATGAAGCACGGGACCGCGTATGCAGAGTCCTAGACTTGCGACGTAACTGATCCTTCATGGCACGCTCAGCTTCTTTGCCACGCGCAAGGGCAAGACGCTGGACCATGGCAAAATCTTCGAATTGAAATAGACGCGCATAATCTGCCGGAAGGGACTCCATCGGGTCCCATGCGCTCGTACGCAACGACTTCATGCCGCGGTAACGAGCAAAACGCACGCGTGCAGGTTGATCAACGGGCACATCGACTTCATCCGGAAATGTCATATTATCCTTATCATCGTTGCGCTTCTGCACCTGGTCAACTTCGTCATCGTCCACCATAAACATGTCATCATCATCATCATCATCATTTTCGCTAGTCTTGCAAAAGTCTTGATTCACAGCAGCATCCTCTTCTTCCTGACCGTCCTTCATCTCGTCACCCTCATCTTCACCATCGAGCCAGACAGCCTGGTATCCCGATGCACCTTTGTTGGCCGTAGCCGTCGCTTCTCGTTGCTTCTTCGCTTCATTTTCCGCCTCGGCAATCTCGTCGCTTGTAGGCCAAGTCTGTTCTGATGCAAATGGATTGTACTCGGCTTCAAAACGAAGGTCCTCCTGCAATGCCGGGTCGGCCGTGGCGAGGACGTAAACCTCATTCTGACCAATCTCACTCGAAGCAATAGAAGGTTTGGCATTCATGCTAACGTCTGCCTTTACACGCTGTACCTGACGTACGGCAGCACGGGTGATGTGGCTCAATTGAAACGTGCCCACGTCGGTAATATGAATCAGCTGATTGACTGACAATGGTTTGCCGCGCAAGTATCCATTTACTTGTAGTTCACCAATCTGTTCACCCTTTTCATTTTGCGCTTCTGTGCCTGGCACAAACGTGGCAGTAGTAGCAAGCATGTACGAGCGTGCCTCGCGCCAGTGAATAATTTTAGGTGAAAGTGTGATCAACACGCGCGTCAATTGACCAGGAACATTCGCCAGTGTCACTTTGGCACTCTCACCGAACTCCGAGGCAAAAAACTTACTACCCAACTTCTTGAGCTCTGACTGGCTCTTGGTTGTGTGCCTCTCCAATCCCTGAATAACGCCCACCGTGGTCGGCAAGCCTTGAGCGCGAATTGCAGAGACAATCCTAACTCCTTCTTCACTTAGACCACCGTCTACGCCATTATGGACGGACAGCACGAATACTACAATGTCGGCCACTTTAGCTGCGTCTAGAGCAACCAGCAGATTGCAGCCGCAATTAATAACGCAGAGTTTCTGTTTGTGTTGGCTGAAGATCCCGACAGTGCAGTTTTTAAGACGAATTCCATCTTGATCCGGTTCCTCCACGGTTGCTGCACCGTCCAGGATGCTCTCTTGCACTTCGGACAGGTTGGCCAAGTCGCTAAGCGCCACCAAGGCAATGATCTTTGGTGGTCCGAACGCTCCACCTAGTCCAAACCGGCGCTGCAGTAGCACTTCTTCTCGTTTGTTGTCGCGCATATGCTTTTGACGCTGCAGACGGGCTACTTTCTGGCCCGACAAACTCATACTTCCTATGCTTGATCCGTTGCTACGGACACTGGCACGGCGGCTCTCTACCTTTCCACCCAATCGACGCGTAAGTAAAGTTTTAGACTCATGACGGCCAGTCTTGTGCTTTTTATTCTTCTGCTTTAGCGGCCCAGAGCGGTGGTGGTGCGACGTCATACTCGCGAATTGATACACTAACTTGATCGATGCTGTCCAATGATCGATAAGTAGGTTGCAGTAGTATAGTATTTCTACCTATTCATACTATAGGTAGCATATAGAGTATTTTAGGTGATGATGCCTGATGTAACGGAGGACGAAGACGTGACGCCACGTTTTCTCACCAAGTACAGCGTGGACAAGCTGTCCGAGCTATGGGACTTAAAACCAGAAATATGCGCTGCACTAGGAAAACTTAAGATTCAATCGTTTTTTCCTGTACAGGCCGTAGCTATTCCCAAGATCCTGGCTAGCGACAGCGACCGCGTGACGGACATCTGCATCTCGGCGCCCACAGGCAGCGGCAAAACACTTACTTATGTGATTCCCATCGTGCAGCGTCTACTCAATCGCATTGTATGTCGCATACGAGCGCTAATTGTCCTTCCAAGTCGTGACTTGGCTCTACAGGTGCATCAGGTCGTGCAGCAGTTCGTTCATAATACGCCACTGACATGCGGACTGGCCATTGGTCAGAGAAACTTTGCGGCGGAGCAGAGCGCACTTGTGGGATCATCTATGAAAGACATTAAGTCCTCTGTAATCGATGGAGGAAGCAGCTTGGTAGACATTCTGGTTGCTACTCCAGGTCGGCTAGTGGACCACCTGGAACAGACGCCGGGTTTCACGTTGCAGCATCTGCAAATAATGATTGTTGACGAAGCCGATCGGTTATTAAACCAGTCGTACCAAGACTGGATACAAAAAGTGTACGCAAGTGTTTTTATCGGCCACTTGGTTGACGACGACGGTCTGGATTTGGGCGTTGGGGTCACATGCCGGCGCCGAGACTCCATCAATCGACGCCGTATCCGCACGCCACTGACTCGGGTCTTGCTGTCTGCCACATTGACGCGCAATCCAAGAAAACTGGCTGCAATTGGTATGAGTAATGCCGAGTTGACTAAGATTGGTCGCATTGATGACCCTCTAGCTGATAACGCAAAACAGAGCAATGTTGATGAAATGGACAATGCGAATGATGAAAATGACGAAGTTGCTGAAACGACGAAGATGTACTCAACACCTGTTAATCTGGATGAGTACTGGATCGAATGTGATACGGGATCCAAACCGCTCGTTCTGCTAGAGCTGCTGAGCGAATTTGCTAACTCGCTGACCATTGTCTTTACGGCAAGTGTAAGCTCGACTCATCGTCTTGCAAGGTTGCTTCAATTGTACTCGGCACACTCGGAACGTGTACGCGAATTTTCAAGTAATCTGTCGCAGAAGCAGCGATCATCTCTTGTGGCCGACTGCAAGGCAGGACGAATACAGACGGTCGTGTGCTCTGATGCGATGGCTCGTGGAATGGATATTGAGGATGTCGCGAATGTTGTAAACTACGACGTGCCTACATTTATCAAGACGTACATTCATCGTGTGGGGCGCACAGCGCGTGCTGGTCGTCACGGTCGCTGTGTGACACTCGTCAAGATGGGACAGATGAAAGGTATGATGCGTATGCTCAAGAAAGCGGATAGCAACAAATTGAAGCCTTTTCCTCTTCAGCATGAGCACATGAAAGCGCTAGTGCCACGCTATACCGAAGCTTTACGACAATTGAAAGACACTCTTGCAGCCGAAAAGACTGGCAAACTGCAAGCTACAGCAATACTGCAAAAGCATAAGGTTTTGTCAAATAGAACTAGCGGTGCAGAGGAAAATTTAATGGTAAAGGTTATCAACACAGACAAGAAGCGTACATTCTCGGTGCTGAATGCCCAGCTCGAGCGAAATCTAGGCCACCGGAGAGTGCGTCAGCTTCAAGGTCATTAAAATTTTGCCTTGTCGTCGCTTTAGTTGTTTAATGTAGCGACTGGTTCTGACTGATATGTACTCTCATAATTTCCTTGCCGACAATTGTTTAGCAAAGGTGACTCAGCTTGCTTTGTTATGATCTCTACACGCTTTAAATGATACTTGTGCCCTTTTGAGCGCAAGTGCTCTGCCCATTGCTTCTTGCCCATGATTTCCCGACCGACACAAACCGTGCATGTATTCCTCTGAAATTTATCCTCCAGTGATGCTGCCTGGGCTACTTCCGGATGTTGCTCCTGGACACTTCGAAATACCGTCATTTCACCATTTTTCAGAAAGACTCGAGCAATTGCAAACGCACGTTGCGCCGCAAATTCCTCCCACTTCGCAAGATCCGTGCTATCGATTTGGTACACTGGAATATTTCTAGTCACAAACTTATTTCGAATCCAAGAGAGCTGGCGACGAGCGTACTGACGTGTTGCAATCTTAAGCTGCACAACGCACTCATTCAGCGTTTCCAGTATCGTGAGATCATCTGTACCATCGCTTGACTCCAACGCGTCAAAATATGGCTGAAATTCCTTGTATCCAATAGCCTGCAGAATGCCAACTGAAATCGATTCTTCTTCAATTCTCATAGTTTGCCGCGGCGGAGAGTTCTTCACAAGTGCTCGCAGGCTTCGAATCTCGTCTACTAAGCCAGCGTTTAGCATCGTCTCCACCCGTTTTGACAAACGTTCGTCAAGCACCGGTTTGCTAGCTTGCACCCAGAAGGCACAAGCGTCGAAATATTTCTCAATATTGTGTTGCTCCTTTTCCTGCTGTGCAAGCAGTTCGCTGTGCGGCACACCCGTTTGTTCGAACACTTGAAGACTGCGTTGTATTTTACGCACATTGTTAACGTGTAGTCGGGAAGCCATCACTGGGTCAACCGCCAATAAACGATTGTATAGAGCTTCAGGTGTCTGAGGCCCCAAATGCTCGGGATGTTCGGTTGATGAATACACAACCGGCACATCGTCTAGCAGTTGCGACTTCCAGAGGATCGCCTGCGTATAGTACATGGTCCCACCTACTATAATAGGTACCTTGCCTCGATCCAAGATGTTGTTAATTGTATGTAAAGCTAAACGCTTAAACTCGAGCACATCGCAGCATGAAGTCGGGTCCACGACGTCAAAAAGGTGGTGAGGTATACCCTGTTTCTCCTGTTCCGTAATCTTAGCTGTGGCTATATCTAGCCCGCGGTACATTTGCATAGCATCCGAGTTGACAATTTCGCCATTTACAGCCTTGGCCAAGTCGACTGACAGCTTGGTTTTCCCGGCACCTGTGGTACCAATTACGACTAGCACCTTTCGTAATGCCGGCATAATTCTTTGATTGGCTTTCAGTTTGTGACAATATAAGAAATTGTTAATGGTATTACTTATTGTAACTTTACACTTCATTTAAAATATTTCTAATAATACAAACAAATGTATGCTCATTTTATGGCGTTGTATTATGACTTACGTTGTCTGCTTACTCGCCTTTGAAATCAAGAATTGTGTTATACTTGCAAGCTTCTTCTGCTCATCTTCTGTCAATACTGTTAATTCCTTACTCGTTCCAACCTCCTCGATCATGTTCTGAGCTTTATCATGTGTCAACATCGGTGCTCGAATACCGACAGCTACCATGCTTTTAAGCTTAAATAATCTGCCAAACGCTTTGGACGACAAGTGCAGAACGCATATGGGTACTTGGTGTAGTCTACAGAGCAACGGCAGATGGCCAAAAGCCAGCGACTCAGGATTGTTTGCAAAGACCACTACTTTAACTTCACGTCTCGCGACAGCTCGTGCCACCTGATTTACGCCTCGTACCGCATGAATGCGCGTAGCCGGCACATCAATCACCTCTTTCTGCAATCGATCCAGTACGATATCACGGTCCTCTTTAGTCAGCTCTTTAAATTGCGGTGTCGTCCACGGACGCACAATCTCTACTGTACTTTGTGCTTTGCGCTTCTGCGTCTTGGCATTCGGTCGCTTAAACTGCGTAGCCATAGCTGCCTTAGCTTTCGCCATCTTCCTTACTAACTGTCGTGCAGTGATTGGTCATAATAAAATTCGGCTGTTTTAAACACGAGTAGATGTTCAGTTATCCCCACAGCGAAAAAGTGAGTTGAGGGCATGGGGAGGTTCTTGGGCTCGGCACAATCTACAGCAAGTAGCGAGCGCAATCGACGGTACGAAATGCTTGCAGGCGTAAATGAAGAAGACGAAAATGTACGTCGCTCAACAGAAGTTGCTACAACTCCCCACGCAGACGACGACGCGCGCGTGGTGGCACCGAGCGTCGCGAGTCGATTGGCGCCTTTGAGCAGCGACAGTGAGATTGATGCAGAGGGAAAGCAACATATTAATAAAGAGGCGATGGATCAAGTAGAAAATGTAGCGGAAGACAATGAAATTGGAATAAAGGATGAAAGCACGACAGAGGATGGAGACCAGGAGCCTGTGAAAAACACTGACCCGGAGGCCGTTCACGTCCGCATTTTGGACCTCAATGGCAAATTTTTTAATATTTCTTGCCGTCTGGACTGGCACATTTCTCAAATGAAACTTAAAGTATTGGAGTGTACTGAAGTGGCCATTGCGTCTCAGCGACTCATCTACCGTGGTAGAGTATTGGAAGACGAAGCCACATTAGCCAGTTACAAGGTTGAAGATGGACATACCATTCATCTCTTTGTAAGAGCTGCACCAACACCCGATCCTGAGATATTAAACGCTGAAGTCAACTCTAGTGGCACTTCTGCTGGGGGTCGAGACGAAAACATGACGGTCGTAAATATTAACAGTGAAATTGTTTCGTCCGCGGTTTTTCCGTCTGACTCGGCTCGACGTGTAGATCCATTAATGCTCGATTCTCCATTGGGCAATTGTGCTCGTCGTGTGAAGCTCTGGAGCTCGTTCTTGCTTATTATATACACGATGAAAGTCATGGGGCAGTTTGCTTTGTTGGCCAATGACCAGCAGCAACGAGCGGCTCAACAAGAACAGGAAACGGCTGGGATTAGTGGAACTGATCGACCTATAAACCGTTTTGACGAGTATCCACAGTATTTTACGCCTGATCCGCTTATTGGCGGAATTGAATTGATGATACACTCTTTTGGTGTGTACATTGGTTGCGTTGGATTTAAGGCAGCACATGACACGGACATTCGTCCGATTCGGTTTTATTGTCGAGGTGTTGTCTGGCTTGCCATATTGACCGTGGTAGAGCAGATTTACACAACCGTACAAATCTCCAGGTCCGACTTTTCAACTGAGCGAGTGCAATATCCGTATGGTGGACCAGGTCCGACTAAGGATGACCTTGTTTCGGCTAATATTTTTCAAACAGTCATGCTCATGGTTATGTGGATCATTGCAATTCGTCACTCGTATTCGCACCAGCGAGAGGTGTCAATTTACAATCAGTCGTTTGCTGCAGCGGCGATGAATGCCGCGCCTCCTGTTCATTTACCTGAAGTCGTGTAAGCAAGAATTAATCGATATATTGATATACTATCTGAAAAAAGCGAGACTTACGCTTAAGATATATCTGGTGCTCGTGGCATCATTTTCGGAAATTCCACAAAACTTTTATGATGGCATTGCAGAGTGTCAAATCAACGACATTTTCTACAAAGGCAGTCACTGCTGAAGTGTACACAAGAAAATCTCCGCTTATCGTCTTCATTATGGCCTGAGCATATATTAAGCGCCATTGTTACATCGTTGATGTTTTCGATTATTGCAGTTTCTGTTGATACATTCAACTACATAATTTAGATATCGATTACGTGACAAAGCATTAAACATTGAACCATATTCGCCGACCGACTTCGCTGTTAAGTGTGTGTATCACCACTTATGTGAGAATTGATAGCGATCATTTTGATCTGACGAGATCAGAACACATTCATCAGCAATGTTGCTTAAGAAAGGTCAGAAGATGAATTTGATTTCTCCCAATGGCAGACATATCTATTTAGAAATCCTTTCAATTCAGTGTGGTAACCCTGCTAGAACGGCTACAACGTCTACAAAAGCGAGAACATAAATATCCAGGTGTATGACTTAGAGGCGCCAATCATTTCGGCGTCGCATATCTTGGATCTCTACACGTCTATTTTACTCGTGCACCTTTTCTTTGCCTTAATACAGTAATGTTTTGGAGGCTGTGTGGCCCTGCAGCCAAAGTCGAGTATTTGTCCTAGCAAGAATATCGTCATTAACGTCACAACGATATCTAAACCAATTCGTGCCAAAGTGAAGGTTAAAGTAAACAGATTAGAATTTTGTGCATCTTATGTAAAATGATGTTCCAGATAAATAGTAAATGTTTTATCGGATAGTTTATATTTATCGTGTAAGTTTGTAACGAAAAAAAAAATTTCTAGAATATTAGCTAAATTTCGTATTTTGGAATTCTCTTCTGTAGAAAGTTGAATACTGGTTTAGTAAGGTCTTATAGGTTAAAAATCACAAGGCAAGCAATTATAGCGAATTTCAGCTAATGTTACCGCTACATGAAAGTGCTGGCAAGTAACGGATTTTTACGAATAGAAGACCTTCTACTATTACAAGCCCCCATCGAATTTTCG